CTTTCTCATTTACGAACGAATACAGAGATATCACCTACGCACATCCTCACACTGTCGCTTACAGAGGGACGTGAAAGGCTCATTACTCCCTAACAAGTGGTTTCTGAGATGGAGAGACAATGGGAGTTCATGAATTGTGATGTAGTAGCAGCCTCTTGAATACCATATAGGATTTCATGCGTAGATGCTATCTCATTTCAGGGCATTTCCCCCCTTACAGTATTTCCTTTTCAGCACTGATGTAGATGGGAAGCACTCATGTAAATTGCAGTCAGAAGGTGATGATTGCTTTAATGGAAAACGCTCTTAACGAGCTAGTTCATTCTACTGGGATGGGATGCCACGTGCTAGTTCACCAGAACTGTTGAAAGGTCTGGTAGCAGCAGTCCACTCTTGTTATTGTTAAAGTGCCTTCCAGCTTTCCAGTGCAGGCAGGGTGAGTACAGCTCCTGCTGGTTTTGCCAGGGGGAATTTTCCCTTTAACTCACCTGGGAAAACTGGTGTCTGCTACAGTATGAGCAGCTGCTTTTGACTGATGCAAACTACAGAAAGGGGGACTTGTTAGAAGCGCAGGGAATGTGTTCAAGTTGCAATCACTCTTGAGGCTGTCAGGTCATTGCTTCTCATTTACAAAACTAAGCAACCGTACTCCGAGCTGCATTCACTAGTGTAGGCTAGATTGTGAATTATGGGCTTTCATCTGCTTCCACGGTTGCCAAAGTTTTGTCCCAAGTGGTCCTAAACTTTGTGTTTCCACACATCACATAAAGGCAGTTTTCAGATACCACATTTATCTTACTGGAATATTGTCTCGCGTCGTTCCAGTGAAACCACACATTCATTCGTTCTTGAAAACATCTGTCCCAACTTTATCATTAAAAACATGCAAGATGACTTACAACATTTCAACAAAGCAACATACAAGTAACAGTTTCAAAAGGCCTTTCATAAAACAACCAAAAAGAAGTTAAAGTGTAAAAAAAACCAACCCTAAAATCAGTGGAGTCAATATACCCAAGTAACAAGTAGCAAGACACATAAAATCCATTAGAAAGGGCAATCATAGGGAGAATATTCCAAATCTGGATTGCCCTTTCCTTGATCACCACTTGCTTAACTTCTGAAGGTGTGTTCCACAAAAAGATAGGGCTGTAATAGTTATCTTGTTAACAAACTTGCAGGTTCATATGGGAGCAGGCAGTGTTTAAGTAACCCAGGTCTCTGTTCGTATAGGGCCTTAGGGGCTAATGCCAATACACTGAATTGTTCCTTTAAAACAGAAAGACAGTGGAGTTGTTTTAAAGCTGGCAAGAAGTTGTTCGAAAACTAGCAAGATTTGTTTGACTAGTCTTGTCAGCAATCTAACTGCTAAATTTGGAACCAATTGTAGCTTCCAAGTGATTTTCAAAGGCAGTGCCATATATAACATTGCTCTGTGTTGCTTTTATTTTATTATTATGCATTTTAAAAGGTTTAAAACCATGCCTTCATCAAAACTAACACAAAGGCAGGGTAGAGCAAGACTACTTAAGAATCAATGTGTTACCAAGGCATGGATAACAATGACCCAAGCTATTTCAGTCTGGGGAAGACAGCAGTTGGTGTAGCAATCAAACAAAAAGTTTTTCATGCCTTTGAGTTCTTGTCATGGAGAACTGCTTTTTCCAGGTTATGCCCCAGAGATTTTTAGTCCTATTGACAACAGACCCACCGAAGTAAAGAGACATGTCTTTGATTTACTAATTTTAATGAGCCAACTCTGAGTAGGACTTAGCTGAACACAGCCCATTATCCCAAGCTGGCTAGTAGTGTCTGCATGATGTCATAGGCAGCTACCTCAGATATCAAAGTATTGATTTTGCTCCCACAGAAAAACTTGTGAGGATGGAGAACCACATCATTAGAGATGTGGTCACTGTGATAGCAGTACTGGGCCGTTTAGGTGCTTCTGAGTATTGGGGAAACAGGAACATTTCTCATGATTTGCTTGACACAGTAGGGAACCTGAGTCCCCTTTGTGATACCCTCTCCATTGCCTCTCCTCCACAGCCAACCTTAACTTACACTTAATTTAATGAAACACAATTACCATCATGGGAGTAAGGGAAAACGGCAATAAAATGAAATTTTGAGGGCAGTTTTATTGCCAAGACTTGCCAACCTTGGCTATGTATTCCCACAATCACCATTCCGAGAAGTCACTGAAAGTTCAGAGTCATAACCTGGGATCTAAGGAAAGAACAGAGGAGACTGAACACCATTGTGACTGGTTAGATAGTCATGCAAAGGGATTGCAATATCCAGATATAATTAAATCTGCCAAAGATAATTTCCCACTCTCAGTATTGTTTCAGTATTGTGGATAAGTCTCCCAAACAGACCACAAGGTTGTGATTTTTTTTCATGTGAAAAAATCTCAGTAGTTTAATTGTTCAAGCTGTTGTACAATTAAGTCAACTGCAATGTGCAACAGTGTGTTTCTGTTGGTTAAATGGATTCAAGCTCACATGAGAGCTGTTTTAATTATTTCTGTGTGTACATTAATTCTGTTGTATTTGCTGCAAGAACCCAGCAGGGTATAAAATTTTAGAAATACTTTTTTTGAAAAAAAAATGAAATTAAATTTACATTAACTTGTTTATGTTTTGAATGTGGAGTGCTGTGAAATTAGATCAATTGTGCATGTGATGCACAGCAACGATTCAGATCTATATTCTGCTAAGTAGAAGTCTGTGGTTTTGAAGGAGGAACAGGATGTGCAACAAAGCAGATTGTGAATCTTATGTACAACTATCAATCTTAAGAGTGCAGCCACACCATAATTATGAAAATCACATAGCCACTGGTGAAGTGTCCCAAGGATGCTGTGCTAGGGACTAGGAAAATGGAAAATAAGCACACAAAATAAATTTAAAGGATCACACATCTTGAAAGTCATGCTATTGCAGAGATGCTGTCATATTTCACCCGAGAGAAGGAAGTGTTCTAGTGGCTGAGGATTATAGACACATCCTTCCTTTTCATAGCATCTTTCAACACTGAAGGCTTTACAGATTAAATTTTACTGGCCACCTGTGGTTTCTGGTGGAGAGGTTGTTCCTTCCCAAGCAAATCAATGATGGAGCAAGGAATACAACCCCAGAGTCCTGACTTCCATCCTCTTGCTATAGCTGCCAGATAACATTTGACCTGTAGCCTTGTGCTCCAGTGAGTCTAATAACAGAAGACAAGTATCTCCCCACCCTGTCAAGTGTTATTGATTTACGCAGTCATCTCTCAGCCTGCAACGTCAAGACTTAAAAGTGCTTCTCTGCTACCATGTGGGTCTCCTGCTCTGAGGGTTGCTCCTTATTTTGCAGTTGACACCCCACTCAGTCTTTATGTGTTGTTAGGAGAGCAGGGCCCATTTTACGGTGGATATTTTCCAGACCCTACACATGAGCAGCATATGATCCGTATTGCCAGATTCCCAACCCCACCCCAAGCATCTGCTGCAATGTTAACATTTTTCAGAAAGGAGGATGTGAAAATGTCTCCTCTGCGTTCTTCATCGCTTGCCTGTGGGTTAATGAACACTTGTCTTGATTGAACAGTCAAGAGCTGAGGGAGTGGGACAGTTTCTGGAGGTGACAGTGATGATTGCTGAACTAAACCATATGCATCTGAAGGGAACACCCCATCTTTTCACATCTGTGAAGTTACAACAAATAATAAATTTGGTGCTTGGATGGTTGTCTGTCTCGGATATGCTCTTACTATGAGCTATCAGCTTTAATAACACTGCACTTACGAGAAGGGGCCATTATTCCTGCAGCTGAAATTAGCAGCCCATAATGACTGTGCCATTTGTGTAGTCCCTGCCCTAGTTCACTCAAGATTCACTCCAGCAATGACACCCACCAGACATTAGTCATCTAATAACAACTGGGGAAGGGGTCAGGTGGGATTAATGAATATGCATGGTTGAAAGAAGTTTTCCAATTTTATATGTTCCCCACTCCTACACTCTCCAGCTGTTGCTCTTGTTTTCTGTACTAAAATGGTATGTGTGCTGCAGAAGGAATGTTGTTTTCTACTATACTCTGTAAAACACCTTAAATGGTTAAAGGCCATCTGGTCTGCTCTTTAGGGGCAGGCAAGAGCCTCCTCATAAGGCAACAATTCTCTTCTAAATTAATATTGATTTGATTTAAAATCGATATTTCTCTCAAGGCAATGTACAATTCAGAACATAGAAACATAAAAGGAGCCTGAGGCATCAGACCAATGGCCCATCTAGTCCAGCATCCTGTTCTCTCAGTGGCCAATCAGATACCAATGGGAAGAACGCAAGAAAAATCTGAGCACAGCAGTGCTCTCTCCACTTCTGATTCCCAGAAACCGGCATTCAGTGGAGGCATAACATAGCCGTTGTGGTTAGTAGCCATTGATAGCCTTATCCTCCATGAATCTGCCTAATCTTCTTTTAAAACCTTCCAAATTGATGGTAATAATAATAATAATAATAATAATAATAATAATAATAATTTATTTATACCCCGCGCATCTGGCTGGGTTTCCCCAGCCACTCTGGGCGGCTTCCAACAAAGTATTAAAATACAGTGGTCTGTTAAACATTAAAAGCTTCCCTAAACAGGGCTGCCTTCAGATGTCTTCTAAAAGTCTGGTAGTTGTTCTTCTCTTTGACATCTGGTGGGAGGGCGTTCCACTTGGTAGTGGGTGCCACTACCAAGAAGGCCCTCTGCCTGGTTCCCTGTAACTTGGCTTAATCAGTGCTTGGGGAAGCAAATCCCATAGTTTAACTATGTGCTGTATGAATAGAATCATAGAATTGTAGTGCTGGAAGGGATCATGAGGGACATCTAGTCCAACCCCATGCAATGCAGGAATCTTTAATAATAATAATAATAATAATAATAATAATAATTGTATTGTTTACACCCCACCCATCTGGCTGCGCTTCCCTAGCCACTCTGGGTGACTTACAGCACATTAAAAATTGTACCCAACCTGGGGCTCAAACCCATGACCCTCAGATTAAGAGTCTCATGCTCTAATAACTTAACTATCCACAGGAACATTCTTTCGTCTTTCCTGAATCTTCAAACATTCAGCTTCATTTGATGCCCCCAAGTTCTAGCGTTAGTAAATTAAAGTTAAATACGATATTATCATTAAGTTAATTACAATAAAGTACAACTACAACAATAAAATCACCAAAAAGCCAGCAAAAATATATTACAGCAACAAAAAGTTGTTAGGAGACCCTCTTGGAGCTACAGTGAATGGTTTGACCAGCAATCCTTGTTTCCAGGGAATTCTGGGAATTGTATCTCTGTGAGGAGAACAGGTGGTCTCCTAGCAACTCTCAGCACTCTTAACGGACTACAGTTCCCAGGATTCTTTGAGGGAAGCCATGACTGCTTTAAATGTATGTTGCTTTAAATGTATGTGAGCTGAGTTAGCATCCAATTTTTCAAAACAGGAGGGGCTTCTATGGCATCAAACATGGCATCTAGTCCACCTGTTGTGACCTCAGATGTCATGAACTAACTCGGCAGTTTGGTTCTCTGTGGACCATAAGTCTGTGTCTCTGTGTATGTCCAACATACTGTTCAAGAAACAAGACTGTGAGTTGTAAAGGTAGGGAAATTGACCAATGTTCATCCCAGAAATAATTCTGGCTCTTCAAGTGTCCTGTTAAAACAATAAATAAAGAACATTTGAAGGACTGATTCTCTCTAACAGCCAAGGGGGTGGTGGTGACTCATGTTAAGAGGCTTAAAACATGACAACCATCAACAGAGGACTTCTTCCACAGCTGCTGGCTAAATAAATGTGGTCAGTCAAACTTCTCATTTGCTGTAGATGATTCTAGAAGAATCGTTTTTCCACCAGGGATCATGGGGTGTTGTTTTTATCTCAGTCATGTTTGGATAAAGACAGACCTACTTTCTTGGCAAGAAAACTGTCAAAAGAAGCCAGGGGCTTGCAGAGGTTCATTGCCTTTACACAGTGCACTGTTTGAGCTTTAGCCACACAACCTCCTCTGCCCATCTTTAGGGAACAACATTGGGTTAGTGCATCCCATTCCAATGAAGGCAGTTGGGCAAGGTTCCAGGCAGAAGACCTTTTCGGTAGTGGCGCCCACCCTGTGGAACGTCAAGGAAATAAACAACTACCTGACTTTTAGAAGACATCTGAAGGCAGCCCTGTTTAGGGAAGTTTTTAATGTTTGGTCGCTTTATTATTATCATTCTGTTGGGAGCTGCCCAGAGTGGCTGGGGAAACCCAGCCAGATGGGTGGGGTATAAATAAATTGTTATTGTTATTATTATTATTAATTTGAAGCTCCTTTCAAAGCTGAATGATGATTATAAAACTACACTAAATGAAGGAGTCATCCTTGGTGTTTAAAATTTTAAACAATCACAGAAAAGTTTGTTTGTTTTCTTTCTGGTGCCTATTAAAGCAGATCTTGCGTAGACGTTGTAGGCCCTAGGAAGACTTCAGGTGACGAAAAAAACCCTGCTGAGCTCTCACCTCCTGAGTCCAATACACAGAATGTGTGCGAGCTAAAAAAAACCAACCAACCCCCCCCCCCCCCCGGTTTGATACTCCAGCTTAACCTTCACAGGAAGACTGGCGTGAACAGCCGCAACAGCCACGCCATCTGTTCCAGCAGGGCGTTCAGGTCTGGTAAGTGCTCCTCGGCACTCTGATTAACTGCAGCTGCGCACAAATTAGTTTTCTTCCAAGAGCTATTTATTGACTTCAAATTAACTGCATCTGCATTAAAGCTGGAAGTAAACAATTCAAAAAGAATAGCATACACATAAATAAACACCCAGTTTGGATCTGGTGCCCTTCCATGCTCATCTTGGCTGCCCTAGCTGTCTGAATAAGAGAGCCAGACAGATGGGGGTCAGTGGCTGCCCCTGTTGCTCGTTGATATCATGATTTCTTGCAGGATGTAAGGATTCAGAATGCATCTATTTCCCAGCCAGAATCTTGAACTAATATTTCTCTGTTTTAGGGATCACCCTGAGGCTGCAATTGCTGAGATTTCACAGGAAACGGAAGTTTCCTGCGTAGAGTGTTATTCTTTGGCAGGCGGTTGGGGAGAGAGTGCAATGAGATTTCTAAGTGCACCTCATTTGGAGTGCTTGACACTTGAATGCAAAACATCACCTAGGTGTAGAGTGAGACTCAAAGTAGCAGGCAGAGCACAATGTTGAATCTCTCCTTGGCTTCTGGGCTGCACTTATGAAGGAAACAAGACCCTTTGGTGTGAACCCCTCTGTCGTAGGCTCAGATTAAATATGTGTGTAAATAAACCATATAGCCTAAGGACGCCCCAGTCTCCGCTTTGCCTCATTCCCGAAAGGAAACATGAACCCTGGGTTAAGTGCCTGGAACCCCCTGGAATCTCACACCACTGAGAGATTAGGGGTGGCATGCAACAATAGCATATTATAGCTATGGTTACATACCTATGAAAAGAAGAAGAAATGGCAAGAAGAGTCTTGGAACTTGTTTCGGATGAAATAATTGCTTTCTGAATGACACATTGATTACTGATTCAACAATGGGTTTATTATGTGCATCTATTTAAAAAGAGAGGAAGAATAAGAAGTTTCAGATAAATTTCTTGCAACGAGTTGCTTAAACTGATAAATGATTTTGACTCATGTAATTACTCGGTTAAAACTAAAATGTGCTGAGGAAGTCGGAAGGGAAATTTGCTTTGCCTTAACGCTTTATAATAACGCCTCTGTCTGGAATTAATAATAATTACAAAACTAATAGTACATAGAGAACACACTGCTGCATTTGTACTGCTTATATTTATATACAAAAAAACCCCTCTCTCACACACATATAAATAGCTTGAGGCAGTTTTTATTGTTAGAAATAGACTCTCTCTCTCTCTCTCTCTCTCTCTCTCTCTCTCTCTATATATATATATGTTGGGCCAGCCCTATATCTGTTACAAGTTGTTAAAATAAGAATGAAAAATGTGTCTAGGGTATATATATTATAACACAAAATATGTTTTGTTCTGTTTGATCAGCAGTTGGTGTATGGGGCTCAGACCAAAATTAGATATGGTTTGAATACAATTTAATATACATCAATGAGCTATGAGCACAAAGCTAAGGTTTCCCCAAGTGTTTAACAATTGCAGCTTCCTATGTACTCATTTTGAAATCAGATTTGTCTTCGGGTATTGTCTGAGTTTCCCAAGTCAGGAGGACTGTGCTTTTTGCATGGCAGGGTTAGTAGTTCTTTTAGGCAGTACCAGCTCCAGGGACTCAGCTACACTGGTAAAGAAAAGAAAAAACCTCGCTTTATGTGTGTTATAACACTGCGGCACCAGACGGCACTGTGGAGTCCCGTCTATTGTCAATGTAATTTCCCTTTGTGAAGTTTACAACTTGTTGAACACTTCCTTGATATGTCCAGATCCAGCCCAGGACTGCACATGCCCCTGGGGGATGCTTTCCAATGGGTCTTCAGATAACATGGTTGCAGCTACTAGCTTTGTTTCCCCAAATCTACATGCCTCAGAAGTTACATCACTCTTCTGACAAAAACCCTTCCCTTTGTCTGTAAATAATAGTACAGATTTAGAATCTGGCCCTGATCAATCCATCCCCACAAACATAAAAACCGAGAGAAAACAAGAGGCAAGCAAGATGGGATTGAGCACAGAAACCTGAAGCTTCAAAAAACTGAACTAACTATTATATACAGACGAAGGAAAGGGTGAACCTCAACTGTGTAGATCACTGGTTTTTCAAAGCGAGTTTTGTGGAATATCTGTGGGGATTCTCAGAAACAGATCTGGGATTCCTCAATGAGAAGATGAATATTGGTGGGCTCCCATCCCTAAAAGCAGGCCCAGTAGTTAATTGTTTTAGTATAATTCCCTTCCATCATCTCCACCAATCCACCTTACTCACTTGAAAAGCACCAGCAAAGGAATGGCGAATGATGGGAACATGAATATCAGGAATATTTTTGACACATTAGTATGGTTCTCACACACAACCTGCCATGTTAATTGAAAGATCATTAATTTGCATAGGGGAATTATCTGATTGACTTCATTCCATGAACCCTCTTTATAATTATGCAAATTGTCTACCGCCGTGTGGAGGAGAAAAAAACAACCCTCTCCTTTTATTAACTTCAAACGCAGCGTCTTTGTTTTAAATAGCAGAAGGTGAGGAAACCTGCTGATGATACACAAAGTCCCAGCAAAGGGTCCAAGAACACTTTGGCTCCCACCTCACCCCTTAAATATCTACTAGTGGAGAAAAAGAAATAAAGCAATAAGTCTGGCAATATTTTGTGTAAAGCTTTCAAGCACCCTCACAGAGCTACAGTTCTCGGCACTTTTTACAAACTGCAGCTCTCAGTATTATTTGGGGGGAAGCCATTGCATTAAATGTGCATTTGATGCGCTTTAAATGGGTGGTGTGGATGTACCCAAAGCACAGCTGATAGGTGGAGCTAGAGGGGTGAGAAAGGGAAATGACTTCTAAACAGGAAGGAAGGAACTCTGGTGAAAGAGTGGGGCAGCTTCAGGAGGCATCAAGAGCCATGTAAAACAAGGCCAGGGGCCACAGGTTGCCTACTTTTCCTTTATACCCGTATCCCAGGAAGCAATCATGTTTCCTTGATGTAAAAATTGAAGTGTAGGCTGCAGTGAAAGTCAGTGAAGCCTTTCCCCCTCTTTTGAGAGGTACTGTTAGAAGAATAGATATATTAAATTAGAACAAGGCTGAGAATTGTCTTCATATCAGTGAAAATTTCCCTATGAGCTTGTGTATTTGAACTACTTTTGAGGAGGAAAAGGTTACGAGAAACCATCATAGCAGCTCGTGAGCTTTGATTCTGTGCTACGAGAATCGGTTGAGGCAACAGAATTTTCAGGGGTCCTCTGATCCTAAAGGTAATGCCTAGTTCTTAAAGAGACACATACTCAAGATCGCCTTTACTTGGCTTAGTCTTGTGCATAGCTACACAGAGGCAAGTCCCATTGAGTTCAGTGGGGTTACTCCC